CGGGGCGTGGGCGGAGCCTGCGCCCGGCTGGGATGGGCTGGGTTTGGCACACCCGGCCCCCCCGGCGTCAAGATGCAGGGCTCCCCTGCGCCTCCTGCCTCAATGACCCAGAGGGCCGAGGTGATAGGCTGGGGATGAACCGGCGACTCTGGGGCGAGAACCAGCTTGGGATAGAGGGGACAGAGACCGACCCCAGTGGAGACCCCCGAAGGCCTTCCCTGACCACCAACCTCAATGCCTCGCCTTCTCTCTGTCCCCTACTTGGATTTGTTCGCGGCGTGCTTAGGCCCAGACCCTATTTCCCTTCATTTCATCTCATAGTCCCCTCCCATCCCAACCGGCCCCACAGGACACGTGGAATCCATTTCTGTCTGTGTCCAACAGAGAGACCTTTGTGTGGCCACTTTGGCTCAAATGGTGTCTTCAGTATCTGGCACAGCGCGTGAAACATAAATGCAGGAAAATTCTAGGACTCGTTCCTCCCCGTGGGATAAGGTGTGGGGTCCCCTCTGAGTTGGGCTTTAGCAGAGGGGCAAGAGAGAGGGGGTGGCTGACTAGGGAAAAAAACCCGTGTGGAGGTCACCGTCCAGGTGGGTGGACATACCTGCTGGGGTCCCTCTACAGTCCAACGAGGACTCCACCCGCCCCCTCAGACCCGAGAGCACCAGTACTGGCTCCTCCCATCTGACACCCCTTTCTGCTTTTCCTTCCTTTCTGTGTTTTCCCCGTTTCATATCGAAGCCTCTTTTAAAAAGAGGTCTGAGCTGGGCATGGTGACCCACCCCTGTATTTCCAGCACTTGGAGGCTGACGAGAGAGTTCTGTGAGTTTGAGGCCAGCCTGGACTACATGGTGAGTTCAAGGCCAGTCTACGTAGGAGGTACCCTTCTCTTCTCTCTTCCTTCCCCTCTCCCAACACCAACAAGCTAAGATTTTCAAGGAGAGAACATGTACAAAATTTGAAACATATTCAATATTTCTTTTACATATTCAATAATACTATGTAATACAATGAGTTTATGAGGATTCCCACTGCTTTGATCATATATACAAGGAAGTTCCTGGTTCCAAGAAGCCCCCCGCAAGCTAGGATGTGGCTCAGTGGTACAGTGCTTACCTAGCACGCTCGAGGCCTTGGGTTCAATCCCCAGCACTAAGTAAATAATTAAATAGCTTTTCTCCAGGCCCAGCTGTCACTCAGACATCTAAATGGCACTGTAAGAAGATAAAGTTTCGATCTCCCAGTACCACCAAAATATACAAAAATAAAATAAGGCAAATGCTGAGTGCCAGCCAGGAGGCAGGAGTAGAGTTGGGGAGATTTGTAGGAAAGGTGAGCGAAGGCAGGAGAGAAAGATGGGGAGCAGGGGCTGGAGGTTCCTCCAGTGGCAGCTGGAAAAGTGGGGGCTTGCCCCTGAAGGCTTGGGGAGCCATAGCAGGATTTACAGCAGAGGAATGACTTATGTATTGTGTATAGGAAGGCTTGTCTGGCACAAATGAGGAGACACTGGAATGAAAAGCAAGTTTGAGAAGTGCCAGTATCCCAAAGCAAAAAGGCACTGAGGGTGTTGACAGAGGCAGGGCCTGTGGGCTGCACGATGAGAAATAAAATAAGAAAACTTGAATGGAGTGTTTGATCAAAGAGACTATACAAATGGCCAAGAGGCGCATGAAAAGAGGCTCCCCATCTGGAGTCTTCAGGGAAAGGCCAAGCCAGCTTTTCAGCCCGCCAGAATGGCCAAGATGGAATGGAGAACAAAACTTAAGGAGAGGGGAGCGTCTCCAGCACTGCTGATGCGTGTGCGGAGGGATGAAACCCTCTGGGCGGTTTCCTGTGAGGTTAAATGTACGCCCACCCCATGACCCCGCCACTCAGCGCCCACGTATTTACCCAACAGGAATGGAAGCGTTGGTCCGCACAGTCTTGTGCCTGAATGGTCACAGTGACGTGACTTATCATAGCCAATTTGGTACCGACGCAAGCATCCATCCACGGGATAAAGGAGAAGTACTGCGTGCCACGCAAAGGGTGCAGGCGGAGAGGTGGGTGAGCCGATGATGCAACCTCCCCGCCCCTGTGCGGAGGGCAGGAAGCCAGACACAAACAGGTATTCGCTGTGGGATTCTATTTATAGAAGCTCAGGAACAGGCAAAAACGAATACACAGCGATAGAAATCAAAGCAGCAGCAGCTGCTGGGGCTGGCTGGGCAGGAGACGTAATTGCAAAGGAGTGTAAGGTGACTTCTTGGGAAGATGGAAATGTTCTGCATCATGTTTATGGCAGTGTGCAAACATTTATAAAAGTTTTCCATTAAAACAGATGCATTGTACTGTATTTAATTATACCTCAGTAAGGCAGATTAAAGCAAAAACCTCAA